GTTAAACTTGACAGCAGTGATGTTACAATTGTGGTTCGTGTCGCTGAAGGCTGTGGTTTGTGTGTGATATCCGTGCGATTAATGGCTGCGTTTCATGCTGTTTAATCTTAATTCGTGTTATTAATTTATGTCCCGCTTCTAGGTGTGTTCCTAATCCAAACTGTAAGCTAAATGATTATATAACTTTTGGTCTGGAACTGCAAACAGCGAAACTGGAATTTATGTCCATTGTTCATTTCCTTTTATCCCTTATTCCACTTGCAATCCTGGAGCAAATACTTCGACCTCAACGATGACTAAACGTTCAGATTGGAATGATTGAATGACAAGATATCTTCCAGTCAACGGTAGTGAGCAGGAAATTTCTTTAGCTTCTGCACGTGGTACTGAATGTCGATCTCCACATTTTGTGTTATTTCGTCCTTCGTTTTCCAAACTGTTTCCAATCTTGATTTCAAAATCCGATAAGCCACTGGAATGATCTTTTCTGCTCGTAATGACAACACGAGCTACGGGTATGACAATCTAGGAACAATTTTTGAACAAATGTAAATATATTTTTAAAAAAATAATTGGTGAAGTCTGAAATAATCGCCGGGTCTTGCCCAAATTTATGATGGTGGACCAACCACGCTTGTCCAACCCCATGATTGTCCCCGTGTTCTTGTTTAAGTTCTACCAACAAATTTAGGAAAGACTTTGATTTGTCGGACTGATTTTAAATTATACTTGAAATATATGTATGGGACACGTCATATATCTGATGAAAACGCCCGCTAAGAATGTTTTCATTACAGAGTTTAAGACGTTTTTGACAACACGGATCGCCTAACGCGTACATTATTTAGCAGTAAATTATTACGCCAGCAGTTCTAGCTTGGAATCGAAAAGGGATATCAATGTAGTTCACGTTCCCATGCTGTGCAAAGAAGAACCGCTATCGCAATCTCGAACAGCTAGACAAAATTGACCTAGACTGCCAAATTGACTAAGAAAAGAGAACCTTATAATGACTTATTTCTTGAGTAGATTTGTGGTGGCGCATCAATCTAATATGGCGGCTATTTGGTTCCTTTTGTTTACTCTGCTCACCTTTTAAACTATTTATTGCCCGATTCTGTATATTATTGCCTACCTGAAAGTCCACTCGCCACCATTGGTTTTTGTTACCATTTAAATGTGCGCACGATGCAACCCCTGCAGTTTTACAAGAATCAGCTTTTACACCATCCACAGCATACTTTGATGAAAAATCACCAACATCTGAATGATGCAAGGTTGAAGATTGTGCAGTCGGTTTTAGGAGGGCAAAATTGTAATCCGTGTCTTGAAAATAGGTATGAAAATTTAAATTCAGAATTAAATATTAACTAGAAATAAATGCATGCAGTAACCCCTCGCATGTATTTCCAAACATTGATTTAACATGAAGTATTAGTAATTGATGACACTCAACCTGTGACTGAACGCAGGCTCGCGTTTAAGTCAGTGTTGCCATGACAACACGATGAATTTAATTTTTATTATATTTTTGTACAACACGCCAAAAATAGTTGAAAGATTCTTGCTTTTAACTATATAACAATGAATTTCTGAAATATGTACTGTATAGGTATGTTGTTCTGCATTTCGTGAGCTTCGATCTCCGAGTCGACGGCGCGAAGCCCCATGCGAGGGTACTAATTCCCCCGGCTATTTACACCCGGAGAAACGAAAGCATTAGGGAAGACTAAAGTTCATCAATTATCGCGGGTGTGGGTCACCAACGATGTGTGGTCATCCTCACTGATCTCAAATATATGGCGGACGGTCATGGATAGCGGACACTGATTGGTCCAATTTAAAGTTTGCATTAAAACGACTGCATGACGACAGCGAAATAGAAAACATAATTTCTTGATTTGATGATTGATAAATTTCGTGCAAATATATTTCATTTTTGCTCGCACTTTTGGAAGATTTTGCAAATTGCAAAAGCTTTCTCAGGAAGAAAGGGCGAAAGAGTCGGCTAAAAGAAGGGAGCCGACGTTAACGAAGGTAAGTTAGTTATAAATATTGATTTTATAATTGCTTTAAAACCCGACGGCCTTTGCGTATATGAAACAACTTTTACAAGACAGCATATAATTTCAGTGTATCTTTAATATTGATTCCCTTTTTTATTATATTGAATTTTTTAAATTAAAAAGAAAGCAAAGTTATTTGCAAGCGAGAATATTTGAAATCATTTTATTGCAAACTGAACGTTTATCGATAATGCCATTTAACTGAACTGAAGGCAGTTTAGTTTTATAAAGAACACTTTAAAACGTTTTGAGAAGCGTTTGTGGTTGAATTTTGCCTTAAATTGAAGCTTATATTACGTATAATAACAAACCTAACATATATATGTTGGGAAATTGATAATTTTGTGATATTTTTAGGTAATTTTTCATTTGTAAGAATATTCTTAAAAAATTATCGTGTTACCATGACAACTACTTTAGATACGCTTCCGAAAATGTTTTGAAATGTTCATTTTAATATTAATTAAACCATAAACTGTTTTTTCCGATATAAAACTGTACGGGTTGTTATATAGTTTATAAAACAAAATAAGTTCAGATAGTTGAGTAATTTCAGTTTGGTTTTCAAATGAATTTTCTCTCCTTTACATTTTACCTTTTATTCTTAAATTAAACAGGGTAATTTAGCAAACTTTAATCCAGCTTCATTGAAAAGGGAAGCTGTTTTGCGCAATAAATTAAAGCAACAAAATTCATAAACGTTTACCCTATATTCCACGATTTTCCACAGTAAATCAATTCTTCTCATTTCTTCAAACAAAAATTGGTTCAAAGCTCATTGTGTGAAACGTGATTTTCCAAATATATGCTTTTGAAAATTGAAATCTTGCTTATCCCACTCCTGGCACACAGTCAAATTTTTGAGATCAGTGAGGATGACCACCCACGGTTGGTGACCGACGCCCGCGCTCATTGATGAACTTTAGACTTTGCTAATGCTTCCCTTTCCACGGGTGTAAATAGCCGGGGGAATTAGTACCCTCGTATGACGCCTCGCGCCGCCGGCTCCGGGATAATACACATGAAAAATTAGTTGATTCTGATTGGCAAAGGAGGAGTGCTGCGTTATAAAACTACAGTCACAAAAGTGAAATACAATGCCAAAAATAAATATGTCATAAAAGGCCAAACCAAAGGACATTTCGATTTAAGTTTCAACTAATATATGATAGTTTAATTAAATTGTTATTCAGATGCGTATACAGTACTCCTCAGATATAACCTAATATAGAAAACGCGTTCGGAATAAATGCGTTCCATTTGCGTTCAGTTTGCGTTCCATTCGCACTCCAATTGCGTTCCATGTGCGTTCAACTTTTACCGGAACGCATCTGCGGAACGCGTGGCGAAACCGAACATCGTCGGAAATCATCGCGATTTCACGAGTATTAGTCAGCTTCGCTTTAACATTTTGTGTTTACATTATAAAGCATCAAACCGCATTTATATATTTGATTTCCAGTAATAAGTCGCGAATCAAAATAACCTATGAACAAATCATATACGTGTACTATATGTGGTCAATACACCCTCTATTCGCCATCAGCTTCCTAATGACCAAGGGCATAAAAATAAACAAAAACAGTTTTGAAGGAATTTTAATGACTTTAACAGTATTCTCTAACATTATGGAAATGATTGTCAAAAGTTATTCACTCATCGTATGTTGAATAGGGTATTGAATTGAATTTCCGAAAGAGGTAGCCGATATATCACACTGTTTGGACTTTATAAAATCATCATCAGACTACTGATATAACGCGCGGTTTACACTATCTAAGTTTCTGTGATCACAGGAGGAGATTTAAATGGATAAACTGATACCGGAAAAAGCACAAGGTAAGGATGGTCGTTCAGTTTATTAGCCATCCTGTATAGACTAGAAATACGGATAAATTCAATCTTAACTCATCGTACGCGAGCGATTGTTTATTACTGATATGCGTGTATTCGCGTTCCACAGTTTGGAAACATCATCATAAGTTGAGACGATTGTTAGTTATAAGGTCAATACAAGCATGCACTTATATAGAATCGACCCGAAACGTTCGGTAGATAATAAAAAATGTTACAATCACTAGTATTTTGACTGATGGCAAATACTCATAATCATGACTTAGTTATGCGAAAAAAACACATGCGGCGACATTTTAAAATAAATTGTAGCAATTGTAGCAATTTTGCCCCCCCCCCGTTTCCCCTACAATTTCGTCCTCCTGGAGGCCGAAATTCCTAGTAATATCGCTCTCCCGGGGTGGGAATTCATAGAAAACTCGACCCATTTAGGAAATTCGCCCCCCCCTTATAAAAACTTCATCTTTTGTTTAGGATTTTCGTCCTCCGTTCAAAATTTCGCACTTCCTAAAAGTTGCAAAGAATAATTAATACATGGCTTTATAGTCATTTGAAATCAGTATCAATACAAATTAAGTTGTTAAGAATACAAATTTACAATTACATGTACAAAAAGGGCTAGAAATGAGATCAATAGGACTTATCGTACGCTTCACAGCACACCATACATATTTTGCATTTTCGGTGTTCATCCTTAAACTCATTTTTAAAAAGTAATCACCGTGGTGGTTATTGTGATTATTGGTATTGTCAATACGTTGTCAATACGTTGTCATTATGTTTTTTTTATAATCAAACCGTTTTTATATATAGATTGTGTTTATGGTACTTAGGTTTATTTGCCACCGCATCAGTTAAGGCTAAGTTTTAAATATGCTATCGTGTTTATAGAAGAAATAGGTTTACTTTCATTGTTCTTATATATTAACAGTAGATCAGTAGCACATTCACCAAATTTGAACTTGGTTGCCTTCGCCTCAGCGTGTTGTTATTTTTCTATGGCTATGTTGTAAACACTGAAGCACATTACTATTGTATTGACAAACATAATGGAATTGATCGAATTTCAAAATATAAACTAAATAGACGGTCTTATATAGTATATGTACAACGTACGTCTCATACCCATTCAAAGCCCAGAAGGCAGAATTCGTTTCGTCGTATAAATGTAATGAGCACTATTCAATAAACTAAATATTTTCAGAATGCATTTATAAAATATTTGAAGATATATTATTAATCTATTACTAAAATTGTTTAGCATCCATGTTTTGTCGTTATCGGAAAATGTATGGCTTATAAGTTAATGTCATTACTCATTAGTGAATGCGCCTATATAAAACTGTTTTTTACTTGCATGCATTATTTCAATATTAGTTTGTGAATCTCTGAGTGGTAAAACTTGCCAATACTCCAATAATACGTTTCAAAAAAGACAAAAAAGCCTAAGTCTTGCAGAGTTACATTCTCATGCAAACGTGTTAGGCACTAATAAGATCAAAGTATCGCGACATTATTTGATTAATCCGCGTTGCAAATATGGGGAGGGGGGATATCCTAGAGCGGGGCGATATTTCTAAGGTATTCGCCCTCCTTGGGGGGGGGGGGGCTCCCATCCTAGGGGGGGGGGTGAAATTATGTTAGGAGGGGGTGAAATTATATATATATATATATAATATAATATTAATTTATATTTATAGGAACCTGATGATTCCTATACGGATGAAACAGACTGTTGTGGTTTTTTGAGGTAAAACGAAAAACTATATTACGCTCTACCTATATGGTATTGAGCACTGTTTGTGTTTCGTAAACCAAAATCTTAAGCTATATTTGCACCCGGTAATCGGTTGTGCACTTTTGTCTACGTTATTCATTTTATTTCTACTTCAAACATGCGACAATTTCGATTCGATTATTCACTAAAGAATATTCCTATACCATCACAGGATGCTTACCTAAAGAATTTGATTGAAAAAGTGGAAAGCGTAACAAAGCGTATGAGATGGAAAGCTAATTTCTTCCTAAAAGGATCAACGACTCAAAACCAAAGCAACCTTTTCGGCCTTTCGTCTAACAAATCGCCTCCTTCAATTCCACTTTTGAAACCTTTCGAAGACGACTTGATAAAACTAATTGAAAACGTAAAATTCCGGCGTCCTAAAGACCAATTTCAGACATCTTTGGCTAACGATTTGAAGAAAATTAGTTCATCCCCCAACATTTTCATTTTATAGAAACATTTACGAAACGTCACTGAATACATACAACGAACTCTTACATGATAACATCACGAAAACGTACAAACATGGATCAGAGGACTTCATACATGAAATTGACTCCGAATTGAAAGAAATTTCGAGTAGGTTAGGAATTGGCGACAGAATTGAACGAATGAAAAAACGC